GGTTATGAAGTATGGACCTTTGTGTGTTTTAGCGGCTAAATGCGCACAGCAACCATCTTTACTTCGCGCACAGATCTGCTCTTCGTTCCGTCGCTGCTGTGAAGACGCAGCAGTCGTTTTCTCCACCTCCATCCTCCTCCTCTCAGCATCTCCTTTTGTTTTTGCGATCATCTCCACCTTACTCCATCCGTATACTTTCAAATTCCAGACCACCTGAACAGACGCGTTTTTGGTTCTGCGGACGAGTCCATGGAGAGGAACGGTACTCACCTCCCACAATGGCGAGGAGCGCCAGCAGCAGCAGCGGCGGCGGAGGCGGCCAGCCGCCCATCATGACTCGAGCCCGGAAAGGTGTTCACCCGGATGCGGGAGGCCACTCCAAACACACCCGCAGCGTTTAACTCCCTCTCTTCCTCCTCCTCCTCCTTCTTCCTTCCTCACGACCCTCAAAACCTCCCTTCACTTTCTACCTGGCATAGTGGTGACGTCAGGGCTCTCTCCTCTCCTCGCCTGATGGAGGAGAAAAATGGAAAATGCGCGCTCGTTGGAGCCAGGTGAGCTGATGCCGCTGCTGATGGATGACGGAGCTGAGCGGCGATGCGACGGACCGGGCGGGGGCGGGGCGCCATGTGTGTGTGTGTGTGTGGGGGGGGGGGGGGGGCGGGGGGTGGGGGGATTAGCTAGTGATGCCAGTCTTCCCCGCACAAAGTCTCTCATCACCATCATCATGCAATAATAACCACAAGGCACGGAAAATGTGTTCAATACCGACGTTTCTGTGACCTTGTCAAACTTGGAGACATTTCCTTCTCTTCTTCTCCATCATCCCAGCTTCAAGCTACATTTCATGTCTTTTCCCCTCAGACATGTCATTTGACTAAGCAGCTTCCTAAACATGTTTGCCATTCCTTTCCTAGAGTACACGCGGGTGATTTGGACAAAAATAGATAAAACAGAATCCCAGAAACAAACAATCTCCCATCCTCAAACTTCTGACTATGAAGTCGATTTTCTTTCTTTCTTTGCCCTCTGCTCTAATCTTCATCCACAAAGTCAAACATGGAGAAGTCAACGTGGAGGAGGGATGTGTGGGACGAAGAAGTGTGACCAGGTTGGCAGAGGAGGATCCTCACGTGGCAACTGATAAAAGAAACATCGCCACAAAGGAGGTGCATCACAAGAGGAGGGCGGCAGGACACATAAATGAAGAAGTGGGGGGAGTCAGCTGAGGGTGGGAGGAGAAGAGAGTAGAGGATGGGAGGATAAGGGGATGAACAAATAAAGTAAACACCATTTCAGGACGGAGGGAGGAGGCGGTTGCCATGGTGATGAAGAAAAGCTCCACAAGGAAGCAGCTTTTTCTCCTTTATTCTGTCTATTCCTAAGGAGTTCACACACACACACACACACACACACATACACACACACACACACACACACACACGGCTGTACACTCTTCCTCTGTGCAGTCCTCCTCTCAGTGCAGCCTTTCCTGTTCCTCCTCTCTGCGGTGGATGAGCTGACCTGACAGTGCTCCTCCCCTGCTCTGAGTGCAGCGAGTCTCTCCATCTGAATTATTGAAAAGCTGGGACCCCCACGAGTGCTCGTCTTCCCCTTCCACCCCTCGCGCTCCTGCCCTCGTCTCTCTCCTCTGTCCCTTCCTGTCTTGCTGTCATTCCCCCTCCAACTGGATGCATTTCACTTCCAGTGTCCCATCTGTGAACCAAACCGGAGATGGACTCGTGTTTAATGCCTCGGATCCTCAACTATGCAACACTTTTGTACAAAGAAATACAAAAACTTCACACACCAGACAAACAAATGCATGTTTTCTAAATGAATGACATGTAAATATTTACTAAACTGATGTGTTGCTTTTGAACTGGTTGAGCGGAATGGCCTTGAAAAAACAAACATGTTAGGTCACCGCTGTCAAGTGATTTCTCTAGCTCTTATTCAGACTTTTGCACCTGTCAACAGGTATTCTGTCCACGCCCCCTCACCAAACTCTTCCAGCGGGGTTACTTTATGCACGCATGAAAAATGGCAACAAACAGGTAAGCATTTCTGAGAGGCTGCTGATGTCTCCTCTATTAAACAAATGTCATGAAACAAGGCTCATAAATCTTAGTTTTACTGTTTATGTTTCTGCAGAAGAACCTTGAGGTCTTTGTGAAGGCTGAACTTGGATCTTTTCAGCTCACTTAGGCAAGCGAACAGGAGTATTCACCATTTTTATTCAACTTTGTTTTTGGGTGATTTCAGATGAAAAATAAATAATAATACGAGGACGCGTTAAAGATCCACACACCAGGTTTCTGACTGGAGGTTTTTCACCACTATGTTTACACAGAGCAGCCATTTGTTATTTAGTCGGCCTGCCTGCCTGCCTCTCCTGAACTGTGCTGTCAGCAGAGACATGAGCAGCGTGAGGCCACAACACAATGTACCGATCTTTTTTCAAGACTGTAGAAACAAAGTTTCTGCTGAGTCATAATTCAAAATGTAGTGTACAGTTCTTCAGTGTGTCAAATAAGACCAATGGATGGATGAACGGATGAACGGATGGATGGATGGATGAACGGTTGGATGGATGGATGGATGGATGGATGGATGGATGGATGGATGGAAGGATGGATGGATGGGTAATAGATGGATGGACGTATGATGGATGGATGGATGGATGAACGATGGATGATGGATGGATGGATGAACGATGGACAAATGATGGATGGATAGATGGACGTATGATGGATGGATGGATGAACGATGGATGAACAATGGATGATGGATGGACGTATGATGGATGGATGGATGAACGATGGATGAATGATGGATGATGGATGGATGTATGATGGATGAATGGATGGATGGATGGTCTTATGATGGATGAATGGATGGATGGATGGATGAACGATGGATGAACGATGGACGTATGATAGATGGATGATAGATGGATGGATGGATGGATGGATGAACGATGGATGTATGAAGGATGGATGGATGGATGGATGGATGGATGAACGATGGACAAATGATGGATGGATGGATGGATGAACGATGGATGAACAATGGATGTATGATGGATGGATGGACGTATGATGGATGGATGGATGAACGATGGATGAATGATGGATGATGGATGGACCTATGATGGATGGATGGATGGATGGATGGATGAACGATGGACGTATGATAGATGGATGATGGATGGATGGATGAACGATGGACGTATGATGGATGGATGGATGGATGGATGGATGGATGAACGATGGACGTATGATGGATGGATGGATGATAGATGGATGGATGGATGGATGGACGTATGATGGATGGATGGATGGATGGATGGATGAACGATAGACGTATGATAGATGGATGATGGATGGATGGATGGATGGATGAACGATGGACGTATGATGGATGGATGGATGGATGGATGGATGGATGGATGGATGGATGGATGAACGATGGACGTATGATGGATGGATGGATGGATGGATGGGTGATAGATGGATGGATGGATGGACGTATGATGGATGGATGGATGGATGGATAGATGGATGATGGATGGATGGACGTATGATGGATGGATGGATGGATAGATGGATGATGGATGGATGGACGTATGATGGATGGATGGATGGATGGATGGATGGATGACAGATGGATGGATGGATGGATGGATTGATGGATGGATGATAGATGGATGGATGGAGGAACGATGGACGTATGATGGATGGATGGATGGATGGATGGATGACAGATGGATGGATGGATGGATGGATTGATGGATGGATGATAGATGGATGAACGATGGACGTATGATGGATGGATGGATGGATGGATGGATGGATGGATGGATGGATGGATGGATGACAGATGGATGGATGGATGGATGGATTTATGGATGGATGATAGATGGATGAACGATGGACGTATGATGGATGGATGGATGGATGGATGGATGGATTGATGGATGGATGATAGATGGATGGATGGATGAACGATGGACGTATGATGGATGGATGGATGGATGGATGGATGGATGGACTGTTAGAACCCTTGGTCCAGCATCAGGAGCTTCTTGCTTGTTGTGACCTACTTGTGATTTAATTAGAAGAACACCGAGTAGCTAGCCAATCAAATCACATGGATGAGAGGACGGGTGATGGTCAGTGGTATCCGTCATTGTGTAACGTCGCCGTTTGTGATGAGCTGGATGAGTAGGGAAATGAGGAGTGGGAACATCTGGACCGTAAAACCCAGGTTTGGGTTTCTGCAGAAATGTTCTGCTGCAGAAACCTGCTCTCAGAAGTCTGCCTTGCACTTTGACCTGTTGAGGGAGGCGTTGCACAATCGATGAAGTGATTCAGAAGTGAGGTGCTGACGCCACTGCAACTGTCCATTCACAACCCCGCAGGGTTCTTCCACGTGGGACCCACATCGCTACTATGATTATTCATCGCTCTCTTCTTCATACCCATCTCTCCTCCGTCCCATCACTCCCTATAGATGTGGCCCTACTTCACTCTAACTAATCACCATGGCAACCTGCTAATCCCTGAACAGTTAAAAAAAGAAACCCAGACTGGCTTTCTCTCAGTCTCTTTTGAACACACAGAGAAAAGGACAGCATGTTCACACACTCACACTCACACATGGATGCCCAGCATCATGCCTGCACTCTCAGCTGTGCACGCAGTCGTGCACACGCTCTGTAGACGCTCGTGCGTGCCAACACACTGGTGTTTACTGGTTTCACATATCTGCACAAGCCCCATCCTCACTCACATCGTCATGAGGCTAAAGCGTCTTGAATGCATTTGAGTAAGTGTGTGTGTGTGTGTGTGTGTGTGTGTGTGTGTGTGTGTGTGTGTGTGTGTGTGTGTGTGTGTGTGTGTGTGTGTGTGTGTGTTTGGTCTGACTTTTTAAAAATTGGCTCATTTCTTGAACGTTTTCTGGGACTTCTGCTGCACACAAAGACGATAACACCTGCGTTCACCCGTCAAAATAAAATGTACTTTATTTACTGAATAAATGCTTTACAACACTATAATACAGAACCATTTTTGGATCTTGTTTCAAACGCAAACTAAACATCCAACCCCTATAAGTACACTTATTTATAAACAGAATACAAAAAGATTTCCAACAGTGAGCCCTGAAGAGGAAAACCAGCACTGCTCAAAACGTGGGAAACGACATTTAAACAGCAGAGAATAAAATACAAAGAAGAGAAAATTCATGGAGAAGAATAACTGTGTGTGTGTGTGTGTGTGTGTGTGTGTGTGTGTGTGTGTGTGTGTGTGTGTGTGTGTGTGTGTGTGTGTGTGTGTGTGTGTGTGTGTGTGTGTGTGTGTGTTATCGTTTTTTACCCACTATGACAACAAGAATGCATTTGCCTCAGCATCTCTCTGGTTCCACGTCTTGCTTTAGGCTTAATAATCACACAAAAACATCTAAATGATTTCTTTCTAGGCTCTACGCTCAGCAGGGGTGGGGGGGTGGGGGATCACAGTGGGGTTCACACTCTAGACCCACCCTAGACCCCTAGAAACACCCCTGTAGGTAAAATAACAACTCATGCATCAACGTGTGAGTCCTGTTTTGTGTTTAGAACCCCAGGGCCCGTTTAAGAGCAGCTTCAGTTTTTAATTACAGTGAAAAAAAAGATTACTTTACACATTTCTCTCCACGTTTCCTGTCTACAGAGACTTCTCTCACAATCTACACTTCCTTTAAACCCCTCACCAAGGGCTGTTTAACTCTGGGCCTTGAGGGCCGGATCCAGCAAGTTATAGTGGTTTCTCTGCTCCAGCACACTTGATTCAGTGGTTAAATCACCTGTGCAGTAGCTCATCAGGCTCTGCAGAAGCCTGTTAATCACCTGCTGATTGAAATCAGGTGTGTTGAAGCAGGTTTAAACTAAAACGTGCTGGACACTGCCCCTCGAGGCTCACCTGACCTAACCAAAACCTGTTTGTGACTTCCAGGTTGATCAGTGAGCTGGCTGAAAGGTTGGATGGGCCCATACTCTGCTCAGGTGTGCTGCTGGGTTTTCTCTCTGGTGAATATTTTGTACAGAGATGATTAAAAATGACGTCAGTACTAGTTTTGTTCCAGTTAATGCATGTGAGCTGCTGTGAGTGTCTGGAGTGAAATGATTCTTCGTGAATTTCATGATTTTTTTTATGAACTTCATCTTCTGGTATTGTATAATTTTCATGTCACTATTAACCCCAGAAATGTCCACGCTTGCTACAGTACAGTTCTCACGTCTGATCTTAACCACTAGGTGGTGTAAGGAAGCAACACAACCCTGTTAAAGTAGTGCTGAAAAGCAGCAGACCTCACCTGGTCCCAGGTGTGTGTGTGTGTGTGTGTGTGTGTGTGTGTGTGTGTGTGTGTGTGTGTGTGTGTGTGTGTGTGTGTGTGTGTGTGTGTGTGTGTGTGTGTGTGTGTGTGTGTGTGTGTGTGTGTGTGTGTGTGTGTGTTCATGTGCAAGGACACGTGTGTGTGTGTGTGTGTGTGTGTGCACGTGTGTGTGTGTTCATGTGCAAGGACACGTGTGTGTGTGTGTGTGTGTGTGTGTGTGTGTGTGTGTGTGTGTGTGTGTGTGTGTGTGTGTGTGTGTGTGTGTGTGTGTGTGTGTGTGTGTGTGTGTGTGTGTGTGTAAGTGCACATGCGTGTGTATGTGTTCATGTGCAAGGACGTGTGTGTGTGTGTGTGTTTTTGCATGTGCGTGTGTGTGTGTGCACATGCGTGTGTTCATGTGAAAGGACACATGTGTGTGTGTACGTGCATGTGTAAGTGCACGTGCGTGTGTGTGTGTTCATGTGCAAGGACGTGTGTGTGTGTGCACATGCGTGTGTAAGTGCACGTGCGTGTGTTCATGTGCAAGGACACGTGTGTGTGTGTTCATGAGCAAGGATGTGTGTGTGTGTGTGTGCACATGCGTGTGTAAGTGCACGTACGTGTGTTCATGTGCAAGGACACGTGTGTGTGTGTGTGTGTGTGTGTGTGTGTGTGTGTGTGTGTGTGTGTGTGTGTGTGTGTGTGTGTGTGTGTGTGTGTGTGTGTGTTCATGTGCAAGGACATGTGTGTGTGTGTGTGTGTGTGTGTGTGTGTGTGTGTGTGTGTGTGTGTGTGTGTGTGTGTGTGTGTGTGTGTGTGTGTGTGTGTGTGTGTGTGTGTGTGTGTGTGTGTGTGTGTTCATGTGCAAGGACATGTGTGTGTGTGTGTGTTCATGAGTAAGGATGTGTGTGTGTGTGTGTGTGTGTGTGTGTGTGTGTGTGTGTGTGTGTGTGTGTGTGTGTGTGTGTGTGTGTGTGTGTGTGTGTGTGTTTAATGTGGTCTTGGCACAGGATGCTGCAGGGTCATGTGCTCTGCTCCGGTGAACGGCAGCCTGTGACTGCAGTAGTGATAAACCAGCTCAGGGATGCTGGAGAAGACGCAACTGCTCTGATCCAGCGTGTAGCCCAGGCCCTTGTTGCCTTTAGTCTGGGCCACAATGATGTGCACGCAGCTTTGACTGGTCCTAGTGGAGGAGGACAAAATAAAACACTTTACATGCTTTTAAAGGGTGAATTGTTCATGCAGAGGATGCTGAAACTAGAGACGATAAACTGGAAACAGATCACCTCCCCAAAATGAGGATTTGTGTTTTGGGAGCTGAGAGAATGGGGGTTAAAGATCAGGCTCAGGAGCACACACACACACACACACTTTAGATGTACAGTGATGCCCCAGAATTTCAGCCTTCATTACAGAAAACGTGTTCCCTGCATGACCGTTAATCATCATCATCACTCAGACACAACTACTACGACTCCAATCAGTACTTGAATTATGTCAGGTCAAGATTTAGCTCCGCAGCCGAGGAACAATCATACTTCAGCATAAAGAAGGAAGAACAGGAATAAATTAAAGAACTACAGGCTGCTTCAAACATTATGCATGCCCGTCACGCACACAGTGCACTCACTTCAGAGCGATGGAGTATTTGCTGGTTCCTGATTCACTGTCTCTCACCAAGAAGCTGGCTTCCCTGCAGCGCTGCAGCTGAGCCTCAGCCTGCTGCCGACTCACACTGCCATGGTACCAGCTTGGAGAAGTGGGGGAGGGGGGGGGGGACGGGGGTACAAAGAGACAGTGGATCATTTCCAAATAGCCCAGTGACGTCTGGAATTCAGTCACATGTCAAGGCCGTGATGCGTGAAATCGCAAAACCCTCGGGGATGAATGAAAGATCGATTGATGGAGTGGTGTAATCTAATAAAAAACAAACTAAAGAAGCTTCTGCAGACTTCTCAGACTCGAGGTGTTGCTGAGTCTCTGCAGGTGTGTTTCACATGTAAGCACGGTGTCGGCAGCTTTGAAGTTGGCGAGCGTTTGAATGCATCAGGAGGAAAGTCGATGCAAACCGGCTCGTCTTCAACTCGACACGTACGGTTTACACGGTTTCAAAGTCAGATAACCCTCCCCGTGCCTCACCTGGAGGTTGCATCCTGTGTCCACTATTTACATTCAACCCTCTACCATCAGGGCCCTGCAGAGTTTACTTTACCTGACGATGATCCTGAATCAGCTCAAAGTCACTGCCTGGCTCATAATCTGGCACGGATGTTGTGAGTTTCAGAGTTGTTGAGGATGTTTGACTTGATTTACTTTAATTTACTTCACTCAAAGGTGGAATCCTGCATATAAAACAGCTTTTGTGTTAAAACGCTTGCTTTCCTGGGTGAAACTGGGTGTTATTTACCACGCTGTCAGTTTTAACGTTGGTCTGTAAACTTCAGGCTAACTATAGCAGAGGAAGGGGGAGCTAAGTGATTAGTAGGGATGCAGTATCGGGTCAATACTCAGTAAAAAGCCAAAGTTAACCGATACCAATGCAGTTGCCTGAAAATGGCTTCACTGTAACTTGTCATTTCTGTTCACCTAATATTTCAGTTTTGTGATCATTTCTATCAATATATTTTATTTTTTATCTACCTCACGGTCTTTTCCTGTCGAAAGCAGAGAAGAAAATAAAACTGTATTCCAGTTGATTGCATTTTTGTGTGTGGTAGGAGTATCGGTAATCAGTATCGGTAAGTACTCAGATCCAAGTACCGATGTCATATCAGTTGGGTAAAAAGTGGTATCGTTGCATCCCTAGTGATTAGCATAGCTTGGTTCGCCAATGGGGGGCAACCAGGTCTGTTAGGGCGTGGAGTGTAGCGGTCAACCTTGAGCAACTGTGTCAGGCATTTGTTTTGACCTGTTGTAGCATTAGCATTGTGCTAGCATTGTGAGCGCCGGTTTCCTGCTTCAATTCAATTCAATTCAAGTTTATTTATAAAGCGCCAAATCACGACAAGAGTCGTCTCAAGGCACTTCACATAATAAACATTCCAATTCACAGTTCATTAAGCCAATCAGAAATAATGTTTCCTATATAAGGAACCCAGCAAATTGCATCAAGTCACTGACTGCTTGAACACTGATTTAGGCCTAGTCCACACGTAGCCGGGTTTTTTTAAAACGAATATCCGCCCCTCCAAAAACTTGCATCCACACCACCGCGTTTAAAAAAAAACTCTGTCCACACGTACCCGGATAAATACGTTGTTAAGGACATGCCAGACCTGTAGGGGGCAGTACTTCTCCCGTTCTTAACCTCGTCCTTCGTCTGTGGTCTTCCGCAAGGAGCAGTAATTCCGCTTGCAACAACAAACAAGCAGAAAGCGCTTGGACAATTGATGGATCGGGTAGTGACAGAGCGCAGCTCTGAGGGCTTCCATGATGCCGGCTAGTGTAAACACAGGTCGCACACGTGATGTCAGCATTTTTTTGTCGCGGAAAGTGACGTTGCGGACCTTAAAACTTCAGTTTTGTCCGTCCACACGCAGACACCCAAAACGGAGAAAACGCAGATCTTCACTTTGGCCGGAGTTTTTAAAAAGATCCGTTTTCGTGTGAAAAAACTCCGTTTTCGTGTGGATGACAGGCCAAAACGTAGAAAAATATCTACGTTTTGGCAGATCCCCGGCTACGTGTGGACAGGGCCTTAATTTAAGTGATTAGCAGCTCCTGCAGAACCCGATGTAATCTGAGATCATTTTTACAATCGGGTGTGTCTGAGCAGGAACAGATCAAAAATGTCTCGTCTGTCTAACTTGTCCGTTAGCCCTGCAAGGCTATTTGTGGGGTAAAAGGTGTGGCTTTCAGCTACTTCCAGAAGGGGGAGCTATAGCCAATAAACTTTCTCTCCTTGATGATGTCATGTAACGCACACCAGCTCTCTCTATTTCTCTGAACAGAGGTCGTTCAGGAGGCTTTCAGCAGCATATTATTATGTTTATCATTATTGTTGTATTTTACACATAAAAATGATTTAAGTAGAAACTACATCAAATGGGTGGCTAGCTACTGCACCAGATCCATTTCCTGAATGTGTTTTCATATTGTACTTTAGAAGATGAACGTGCTGAAACAACAGCTTTTGCTGTAACTGAAATAATATAACAAATCTATGTTAGAGCAACAGTGGCCACACTGCTTTTAAATCCATAAATGTTTTATGGAGTCAAGACAATCAACTTAATTTAGCTTAAACCAATTATCCACATGAGCCGGTTTGGTGCGAGATGCTCGTGCAACCTGCAAAAATGTCAACTCTGGCATCTTCATGCTGTGCCAATGACAGCATTTGAGAGGAAAACAAAACACATTTTAAAAACTTTTTGAGTTTTGCTTGAAACCTTTTCTCATGGAGATGTTGCAGCATTTTCTTTCACACCTGTATTGTTTTATTATGCAGCTACCAGAGAGCCTGAAACCAGAGCCGTTTCTGTCAGACGTTTGGTAATTTTATCAATTCTGCTGCATCTTTGGTGTTGTTGTTGAACCTTTTGTTGGCTTTTGAAGTCATTCAAACTCACCAAAATCTTCTTTTATACAGACTTACTGACATGTTAATAAATCTTAAAGGTGTGGTTTACTTGTTTAAAGGGACTTTAGGGAGTTTTGAATTTTTATGCTCGCGATTGCCCCCTCAGGCCAAAAGCGTAACGGCAGCCTCAATAGTAGGCTCGTGCACGAGGCGCGCATGCTGTACGTGCACACTCCTTAACGAAAATAACAGCTGAGACAGTCCCTTGTGTGTGTGTGTGTGTGTGTGTGTGTGTGTGTGTGTGTGTGGCCCGGAGGACAGAGGACAGTAGAACGCGCAGCTAATTAATGAAATAATTTGTTTCTGTACCTTTCTCTTCAGCACAGCCGACAAAGGTTTATGATGGGTCAGTCCTCCTGCATGCTCAGATCATTCCCTTCCCTTGCTTGAAAAATTGTTCCAAAATGAAAGTTGAACCCACATCTTTTTTTATCTGTGAATTCAATGCCGTTCGGCGAGTCTCAAATAAAAATTTGGGCAACTTACTGTAAAAAAACATACCATTAATGTAAAAAAGAAAACAAATTATGTTCACATCCAGAGTCAAACCCAGTGTTTTACTAGGTGAGCTAAAGTACCAATGATGTCCTTTGTATCTGTAACATTTATATCCTTGATGACAGCTGAAACAACGTTCAAAGAACGGTTCAGAGTGAAAATGGCTATTTTGTTGCTAATTAGCAGGAAATATCTAGAAGAAAGTTCTACAGAAAGTAGCTAAGGGTCCTCAGAAATGTAGCTAGCTTTGTCACTAGGCGTTAGGAACAGCGACAAAGTGGCACTGCCTCTCTCTCTGCTGCTAAAGCTACGGATAGCAAATGCTACGGGCGATGCCTGAGCGTGAACGCGCATGAAGCAGCCTGCTCGACCCGAGCATCTCTCTTTTTCTGTGGTTTTACAGAAAAACAGGCAATCACAGTAAAAATGCCAGGGCTCATTCTACAGGACCAGGGCATTGCAGGAGAATGTATGAAGAAGACATTTATTATTTCTATACATGTTTTGGCTGTCACACTTCCATAATGTCCTTTTAATCAATGCATTTGCAGTTAATGTCACTCTCTAGGGGGAAAAATCCCAAAAGTGCCTGTTTAAACCGGTTTAAACGTAGCTATCAGCTGGAGGAGAAAGGAGCGTCAGACGGCAGCACCTGGAATCTTATTTCCTGATATTCAGACATCTCTTCTCTGATTGGCTAACAGCAACACGACTCTACCACTGACTCTGTTTGCGCTTCAACGTTGATGCTTTATATCCACTAATGACACAAGCCAGGAGGAGTTCTGCTATGTGGTGAAGTTGCTAATGCTAACAATTAGCTTCTACTAGCCCAAACGTTCTCTGCTGTTTTCTGGACGTTGAACCAACAACAGCCTTCCCTGTCGTGAGTCCATGAATGTTAAGTGACAGAAAACAGACGGTGAAACTCTAGGATTAGAAAAGCCTGACGGATCTACATCACACTGTCAGATGCTAATGCACGACACAGGTGGAGGAAACTATTTTCAAGTTCAGCCTCATGAAAAACTCAGAGAGTCAGAGATTTTTGCAGACTCAGCTAATCGACTGAGTTTGTTTCTCAGAGTCTCTTTTCCCCGCGTTTCCTTCGGTCTGCAAATCGATTGGAGATAAACATTTTGATCCTTGGAAAACGGGCATGAGGAGAGAGCAGACTCACTGAAATTTTAAAGTGTGTAACACTCCAAGTCCACTTCAGAGATTGCCAACTTTAAGACGTAATTAAATATATCATTTTTATCTGATGGTTAAAACCGACACCTCAGAAGCAAAAATGTCCTTTGATGACATCAGCGGACAAATGCGGATGATGGAGGTTGGAAAACGAGATAAAGTCTGTCTGTCCTCACCTCTGCTTCTCCAGCGGCAGGCTGGAGTCCATTTTGGCAACCTCCCCATCCAGCGGAGCACAGAGGGAGGTGGGAGACGGAGGGGACGGTTTAGTAGGGCTGGATGAGGGAGAGGGGGGTGGGAGTTTGAGAGTGGGGTAAGAAGAAGAAGACGGCAACGTGAGAGGGGAAAGTTTGAGAATGGGAGAGGATGGGAATGAGGAGGAAGAGGAAGTGGACGGAGAAGTTGAGACAAGAGATTTATGGCTCCAGTTCCTCTGCCTCAGGGTTTGCTGCTGCTGCTGACGACCAGCGGTGGAAATGTTCTCCTTGCTGTGAGAACAATCCACCGCCTCAAACTGAGCTGCAGGAAGCAGGACAGACATTATCAACATTTCAGAATAAAAGCTGTGGAAGCTGAAGCACTGAAGTAAACATTTCTCTGGAGTTTTGATCAGACCGCTGCTTTTCTTTCCTCCCCAGAATAAACACCAAACTGTTGTAAATGAAGTTTGTGGCGTCCTTCCTCCACCACACCCTGCACCTCCACCCTTCCCATCACCCTTTGCTTCTTTTCTCTACCTGACAATGCTCTGACAATGTCCTCCTTTCTCCACTCCCAGGGCAATTCGTATTCCCCAGCCGGACGGACGTCGGACTCCGGTCGCGTGACAGGGATCCACACGCCCTCGCCGTCACCCTCCAGCCCGCCCTCGTAGGGTGTGTCGTAGATGTTCGGGGGCGAAGGTGTCCCCTCCTCTCCTTTCTCTTCTTTGTGACCTCGGTCCAGCAGAACACACACTTTCAGGAGATCTTTGGAGCCTCGCCTTCGGACCTCTGTGGCAAAAGGATCAAGAGTTTACAGCAGAGCTTACCAAACATTCACTGTATGGCAGACCATCAACTCACAGAACATTACCAGGACCAGGTTATTTCATGACAGCTCTTTTCATTCCTAGCAAAATAATTCAAAATAAGTGATTAAATCATCCACTTATACAGGCTGTGCTCCGTTTTCAGACTGTGATTATTTAGGTCACCAAGCAGAATAAGGAGCACTACTGAGTGGTTTTAAGGACGTATTTATAATAATAATAATAATAATAATAATAATAATAATAATAATAATAATAATAATGCATTTAATTTATAGGCGCCTTTCAAAACCCAAGGTCACCTCACAAAACAAGATGAAACTTACACACAAATAAGAATAAGATAATTTAAACAATAAAATTACAAAAAGTATGCTGTAAATTTCAGAGTAAAGAGTTTGTGGGCTAGAGAGTGCAAGCCAGGTTGAACAGGTGAGTTTTGAGTTTGGATTTAAATGAGAGGAGGAAGTGAGTTCCAGAGCCGAGGAGCAGAGCGACTGAAAGCTCTGTTTCCAACGGTGGTGAGACGAGCGGGAGGAACCACAAGGTGAACGGCAGAGGAAGACCTGAGGGAGCGAGATGGGACAGCAACATGGATGAGATCGGAGAGGTAAGGAGGGGCGAGACAGTGGATACATTTGTAGGTGAGAAGCAGGATTTTGAATGAGATTCTGTGTTCAGTAGGCAGCCAGTGGAGACGCTGAAGAACAGGGCTGATGTGATCTCTATAGGGGGTACGAGTGATGATCCGTGCAGCAGCATTTTGGAGGAGTTGGAGCCGATGGAGGGATTTATGGGGGAGACCAAAAAGGAGAGAGTTACAGTAGTCAGTCCCAGAAGTGACTAGGCTGTGTACGAGGATGGCTGTAGCATGAGGAGTGAGGGAGGGGCGGAGTCGGTTGATGTTGCGTAAATGAAAGTAGGCTGAGCGAATGATGTTACTGATGTGGGCTTTGAAAAATAAAGTGCTGTCAAGGATGAAGCCAAGACTCTTTACATGGGGGGAAGGAAGGATGGAGGAATTGTCGATGTTAATTGATATGCTGGGGGATATGTTCAGCGTGGAGGGTTTGCCTATGAGTAGAATTTCGGTTTTATTGCTGTTGAGTTTCAGGAAGTTTGAAGAGAACCATGATTTTATCTCAAGGAGACAGCTGGATAGGGAGACTGGAGGGAAGATAGCATCGGGTTGAGAGGAGATATAGATTTGAGTGTCATCTGCATAGAGGTGGAAATTTATCTTGCATTTGCGAAAGATATGGCCAAGTGGAAGAATGTAGATGAGAGAGGTCCAAGGACAGAGCCCTGGGGAACACCGGTTCAGTTGGATCCCTTCTCCTACTGTGTTTTATCGTAAATGGCCTGTATTTGATATAGCGCCCTCTAGAGTCCTGGAACCCCCCCAAGGGGCTTTACAACACAATCAGTCATTCACCCATTCACACACACATTCACACACTGGTGGTGATGAGCTACGATGTAGCCACAGCTGCCCTGGGGCACACTGACAGAGGCGAGGCTGCCGAGCACTAGCGCCACCGGTACCTCCGACCACCACCAGCAGGCAACGTGGGTTAAGTGTCTTGCCCAAGGACACAACGACAGCAACAGACTGAGCGGGGCTCGAACCTGCAACCTTCCTATTACGGGGCGAGCACTTTACTCCTGTGCCACCATCGCCCCACCGCTTAGTGTTATGCTAAGCTAAAGCAAAAAGAGCACAGCCAGGTCAGGAGAGTGACTTATCTTACTCTGGGAAATATGTCAGAAGACAAAATTTCTATTTTGAGTGGAATATTTCTTTAATGCTCACTGAAACCAGCCCATAATAGTTATTTAACTGCCTTTATTTGCTAAACATGTTTCTGTGCCTGCTTGATAAACATTTCCTCCAGTACGGTTCAAATTTTACAAACAAGGACGTGTTTTTGTTTTGGCACACATATATTTGACATCATAGATCTTTTCTTTTTTCGTTTTTCATTTGAATTGAAGTCGAATGAAACCTTTTCTTCTGTTTTAAGCTCTAATGTATTTCACACGCTCTTCATTCTTTTCTGGGGAATTTTACGGGTTGTGTTTCCTCACAGCCTGACAGGTAGCCTGTGTGTCTGCACTATTGTGAGACCAAACAATGGAGTTACAGGAAGAAAAGGTCAACACAGTTGCTGATTGGCTAACTGACCAGGACACTTCCTGACCGCTGGGAAGTGATTGGGCAGGACCGGAGGGGGGGAGGGGGTATCAGGTATTATGGTGAGGAGAGGGACTCTTTATTGTTGTCACTCACAGGGGACTATGAAGTGTGTGTGTGTGTGTGTGTGTGTGTGTGTGTGTGTGTGTGTGTGTGCGTGCGTGCGTGCGTGCGTGCGTGCGTGCGTGCGTGTGTGTGTGGTCCGTATGTACAGTCTATGGTATGGTCATAGTGTGGGGGCGCTCGGGCCAACGTTCTATCAGGAGAATGGGGCAAAGGAAACAGAGGCAGGAGACAGGAAGCTGGAAGAGGAAGCTGCACCCATTGTCCCTGCACAACAGCGTTGCCATAGCAACCGCCAGCCTGGAGGAAAGTCAGCGGAGAGACCAAGGGTCTAGTTTGGCTCTGAGACCCTTTAAAAATCATTATTTGGCAGTAATGCAAAACAATGTGTCTCGGTGAGTTTACAGGACATATTAATGACAGTTTTCATAGATTAAATAAATATTTGTATTTAAAATGTCCGAAAGACTTGTGTGTTTATGACCTGCTCACCTGTGATGATGACCTGGGCATCGTAAGGCTCCATGTAACCATCGTTCACCCCTGCTCTCTCAGCTTCTCTCTGCTCCTTGGTCTTCTCTGCATCGAAGGGATCCGCGTAGTCCTCCAGGATGATCAGCTTAAAAGAAGGAAAAGATGCAGACTTGTAACTTTTGCAGCAACAAAGTTGCATGTGTGTGTGTGTGTGTGTGTGTGTGTGCGTGTGTGCGTGTGTGTGTGTGACACAATGAAGCGAAACTTCTTTGTGCTCCTCTGAGAAGGATGGAAACCTGATGCAGGGCTGTGAACTGGGAGGGAAAGCACAAAGGAGAGCTCTGACCTAACGTCATCTGGTTGTTCTGACTGACTTTAAAGCAAACATTAGGAGCAAATCCGGGGCTCACCGTGGTTTTCATGTCTGGCTTCCCCTTCTCGGTGTCGGACACCTTCTGCTCAGTTATCCCGTCCAGCTTGGGGCTCTTGTCCTGTTTGTCCACTTTAATCATCCTACTGATGTAAGCTTGAGCCAGACTAGAGGTCTTTACCTGGCGGTTTTCATCTGACCCCCCAGTCTCATTCTTGGAGTTCTTGCGACCTTTTCCAGTTGTGAGACTGTCCCAGACAGTCCCACCGTACCCAGCGTTGTTCCGACCCAGCTCCGATGCTGAGTTTTTCCTGTTTCTCCCCGCTAACAAGCCCCCCACGCCTCCATCTTTGCGCTGGTTTCCTTTCAAGCTGTCCCGAGAAAAGCCGGGCTTGGGTCGAGTTTGTGGACTGGACTCGGAGGCCGAGCGGATCCTTTCGTTTCCGGTTTTTAGGTTGATGGGGAAATCTCTGAACCATTTTGCCATGGCTGTCAAAGAATTCGAACTTCTCAGATTTTACAAATGAACAAAAAACGAGCTTTTACTCTTTCTTGCATCAGACGCGTCCGCAAAATTCGGCCGTGCGTAAAATAGCTCCAACTTTACGCACAGACTGTTTTTCTTTTCTCTCTGTTCTAACGGCTCTGGGGAGAAGTTTTCTGTAAATTTCCAACTATGCAGAGCCAACTTTCTGATACTATGATAATATAGAGTTAAACCCACCCCTGACCATCCCGATGACTCCTGTTGCGTCGTGGAGATCTTTGACTTAACGCTGCGCTCCCGTCACCCCCGCACCTGCAGCTGCAACTATCCTCGCAGCTTGAAAAGCAGCTTCTGAAGAGCGTAAACACGAAAAAACTGGAAGATTTTCTTTGATCCCAGTAAAGATCCCATTCCCGGATCGTGAGATGGTGCGTCCAGTCTGTGTCAACTAACAGTGATGGGATGGAAGAGGAAAGTTGGTACGCGCAGATGTTGCTGGAGTTTGGGGAGGAGCATGTGCGGAGGGGGCGGGGTGTGTGGATTACTGATTCAGCTGAAATATTACTATTAAAAGAGCTGAAGTTTTCTTGTTGCTGATGCTCAGATCAGATAAACGTGTTTGCTAAGAAGTGAAGATGCTTGTTTGTTTACACAACACGTGTGTGCTTGTGTTTTAGCCACAAGACAAAATACCAAAAAACATTTCTAGTAAATCATATAACAAGTAAAGAAATTATTTTTTTTCGAATGGTCGTGATAGAGTCAGAAATCAATTTTAAAAAAGAGTAATATATTTATTATTAGCTTAAATTATTAGTCATACACCAAACATTATATTTGGCCACAATAAGCCCAACCATGAGAGCCAAACTTTTGTTCATTTTTGTTCCTTTAACTAATTTGTAGCACCTTATAAAATATGAACCCAAATATTATTGTTTATCAATTAATAAGCTCAGTGTAAATTTAATGTTGAGGTCCCTTTCAGTGCAATTGGAGGTAATTAATTTCTCCTCATGAAAGGCAGGGTGATGATATATAATTACTACTTGTGGAAATTATTAATATGAGTAATAATTAGTATTATAAGTAGTATTGTGATTATTGTCGTTGTTGATGTTGTTGTTATTAATATTGATTAATGGTGACACAATAAGAATATGAAGATATGCTAATCTTTTTCAGTTCTACTCTATTTTATTACAATTTATTTTCAGTAACTAAGTGGCTGAAAAGGGGCTTGGGAAATAAATGACTGACGTAAAAAGTCAGCCAATACGAAGCGATACCAGTTTCTTAAGTTCCGCCCACTGTGTAGTTTTGGACCAATCAGAGCGCACTGTTTGGCAGGCCTGGGCGGGACAGTTTTATCCCGACAAAAAGGTAACAGGTTGCAGCTCCAGCAGCGTCATGAACCTGTTGCTGCGTTAAATTACGTCTCAGCTATTTTCCTCCCACTTTTTCTTTGGACTTTGATGGATGTCCGGGGAAATATTCGAATTATCGCCAGCGTACAAGAGCTCGACGCGCCAAAGAGGAACAGAGAGGGATAAGTTGAAGAGAAGAGGTAACTTTTGGATTTGGAGCGTCTCAAATAGCCAGACGGCTAAAAGGCAGATAGTTACGCTCTTTGTGAGGGATTTTCTGGCACTGTGACACCCGTTTCATCCTAAAGTGAGATCAAGCGTACTACGTTTTAAGTGTGTGTAAAACAGTAAGTTTGTTTTTAGGTTTGATGGCTACAGAAAGGAAACAATTAACTAGCAAAACTAGCTAATTTTAACCGTTGTTTCTTCACTGACGTCAAGTAGCTAGGAACTCCTGTGTGGAAACTAAAATAGTCAATTAATGTCGTTAAGATTAAAAAATGTATTTGAAAGTTAATAAAATCCATAATTTTGCCCAAAACCCATTTCCTCACCTGTACTCGTTGATGCAAACTGTAATTAACCTGTATAAATATAATAAATACATACGGGACGGATCTGCTCACGTTTCAGGTGAAACTGATGACACAAGCGCAGCAGATTATAGTTTAGAAGAGGGAATAGTCACGGATTGTGTCATGAATTTCACTAATAATGGCTGTAAACCTCTGACACAGACTCATGTTTAAGCTGTGAAGTCCCGAACAAACAGACTGCTCTGATATGACGCCAACCTGCAGCTAATGCCCTAAAGTGTGGAATGAAATCCCAGATTAGGTGAGCAAAGAACAAGTGTCAGGAATGTGGAGAGGGAGGAAACACGCCGTGTTCCTCTGATACGGTGTACTTTGAGGACTACTATTTGGCCACACTGGAGCCTCTCTTTGTGGTGCCAGTGAAATCTTTTGGATCCTAAAAGAGGAATAGATGGTTGTTTGTTTGAGTGTGAAAGAGGAGCGGGAACAAGTCTGGGGAGAGGACAAGGGTCTGGTTTTATCTCAAGAATGTAACTGAGAGGGAGAAGACTCTTTGGACCAAACGGATGACTAAGAGCCCAGAGAAGAGGAGTTCTGTTACCTAAAAACCATCCGCCTGAACTTTCCTAGTTACTCCTTTGTGATTTCCTTAGAAGAAAATAGGAAATTACTCCCTTAAGTCCTTTTGGGAGTAAATAATAGAAAATCTGGTGTCTCTGAAATCATTGCTAGAGATTGCCCGATTGGTCAGCTGATTATTTGGACTTTTTAAACTTTTATTTTAAAATTATTAGTAGGGCTGCACAATTAATCGTAAAAAAATCGTGATCTCAATACATATTTGTATACAATCTCATTTCCAAATGACAGCGATTTTAAGCCGCTAGCTAGATAAAAAAGGACTATGTTCTCTGTTCTGGTCCTGCCATGGTCAACAACAATCATGTTGTCATTTTAGATGTTATATTTTGTTAATAACTGTGGTTTACATTTTAAGAAACATACCTATTACCTACCTCTCTCATCACCTTACAAGCAGAGAGAATATTGTTCAAAATTGTCATTGTTTGAATAATTCAGAAGTTGTGTACGTAAGACACGACGAGAGACATTGTTTTCAGTGACAGCTGTTACAAAGTTGATGTGCAGGTAATAAGTGCAATAAATACTTATTTTGGAAGAAAAATTGTGAGGGAATCTTTATATAAGCTGCATGGGCTGCATGGTGGCGCAGTGGTTAGCACTGTTGCCTCGCGGCACGAAGGTTGCAGGTTCGAAACTCGGCTCGCCTGCGGCTTTTCTGCGTGGAGTTGCGTGTTCTCCCCATGCATGTGTGGGTTTCCTCCGGGTACTCCGGTCTCCCCCACAGATCACAACATGCCCTATAGGTTATAAACTGTAAGTCGCTTTGGATAAAAGCGTCTGCTAAATAAATAAACATAAACTCTAATAAAAATAAAATCGTGGTTCCCATTTTAACCAGAATTGTGCAGCCCTAAAAATTTGCATCAATTACAACAAATTTGATTGATTGGTTTATATTAGAGATGCATTGAATCTGGTCTTAAGCGCTAGCAGTCATTCACTATTTATTTCTGACCACTGACCTGCGGAGACAGATTTGGAACTATAATTCAATTTTTAAACCCAAAACAATTATCATTCTAGAAGTAATAACATACATGTGGAACAATTGTTACTGCTAGCATGGATTCGTGTCTGGCAATGGTGAGTTCAGACTGACGAAACAATAGATTTATTAGTTTCAGATTGGCCAAACACCGACTGAGGCGGTCACCAGGCAGTTTCAGTTCATTTAGCACCAGTTCACCAATCTAATTGAACTTTATTTATAAAACACTGTAAAGCAACCACACAAAACCACACTTGGAGATAAATTAAAGAATAATGATAATGGCAGCCACATGGCAAAGCAAGATTGAGATAAATAAGACATTAAACATTAGAAATGACTCAATAAAATTCACAACAAAAGTCGTAACTCGATGTATTTAAAAAAAGCTGGTGCTAATTATTTGGTTAAGACTGACAGGATTGAGTTTATTGTAATATAGGTGAAATCTGTTATATTTATGGACCAAATAAACATACAAAAATACCTTAATTTATCAGCTAGCTAGTGTTTTTAATTTATAAAGATTGATATCAACTCAAAAAAATCTATTCAATCAAGTTTTCATACATTTAACTCATTTTAAATAAAAAAGTCAGTCTGTAGGATTCACTTTGAGAAACGGTCGTAAGGAAGTTTCAGAGTTCGGTGGCCTGATTTAATGTCTGTTGATGCTACGTTTGTCTGTTTAGTTTTGCAGAAAGAAGCTTTTTATCCATTTCATTAGAATACATCAACTATTAATTTGTGTAATTTGTTCTGCATTAAAAAATTGGCAAATGTTTGGCTGGCAAGCCATCCCATATACATTAACATGTAGCCGTGCTGTAGTTCTTTTTTAAAACACAGAACAGTTTTGTTACCTGTTTCCCGCTACGTTTCGTTTGCGGCTGCAAACTTCCTCAGGCTGACGCTGATGGTGGCGTCACTTCCTTCTCCGTTTATCCGCTTTAGTCTGGGTAGGACCCATTGAAACAACCCAGGTGTGCAGCCAAATCCACTGTTGTCTAACTGTCTCCGCACACATCTGGACAGCGCTAAGACCAATCAGAGCAATGAACAACATTGCATACTCTGTGGAAATCAGTCAATGGGGCATTTTGCCATACACCACCAAAAAAGAAGCGAACACATTCCCACCGGGATGCCCGAGGATGTGCCTGACTTTAAATCGGCTTTACTAACCCCCAAATTCCACTACCTCCGCTCCGCTGTACTCCGCTCCGACACGAACGCCGGAGCAAAATCGGTCCCGTTGTAGCTAATCAGAGCAATTCCACTACTGCGGCCGTGCTCCGGCAGTGCGGCGCCGTGCGCCGCCCTCTGTTCCGGCGTCCGGCAAAAATAGAATCGATCCTATTTTTGCCGGACGCCGGAACACCTCCGCAGTAAATGGACAGAAATCACAACGGCCCAACAGGAAAAGGAGCAAGCACAATTTCCGTTTTTCACAATTAATCGATAAACAAAAGGCGTTTTTTGTTTCATATGCACAGGTTTAACAACTTTTAACAACTATCAATGGCGGCTGAAGTTTAAATGCACAAAGGTAAGCCATAAATACAGTTTCCACTATCAAAGTAGTCACCCTTTGTTGATCCAAACACTGCTGATCTCTCAACACAAATGATGGGCAGATTAAACAGTTCATTTCGATGCTTCTCCCACACAACGGGTGTTTGGATCTAACTTCCGCGTTTATTGCTCGGACTGTATCGCAAGATCTCCAAAATCCCGCGCATGCTTGTTTGCCCACCTCAGGTCTCCGCACCGGAGCGGAGCCGTTGTAGAGCGGGTACCAGTAAAAATTGAGTTCGGAAGCGAGCGGCTGCGGAAGGCGGGGGCGGACCGGAGCGGAGGTAGTGGAATTTGGGGGTAAGGAGATGTGTCAGCTGGCTAATATATCGGTCTACCTCTACTCTCTAAAAACATCGAGCGCTGCAATTGGCTGGACCTAAAACCGTTTGTGACGGACCAGCTGAGGCTACAGTGGAGCGTGGCTAGACTGACCTGAGGAGTAAAATCTTTTTCTACGGTTGGTCTAGATTTGTAGGCTAGCCAAATATAAACATGTTTTATGTTAAGTAACCTTCAGTGTTTGAAGTTTCAGGCCAAACCAGACGAACGATGACGTGGTCACATACATGCATGGCTGACACAACTCACTGCTGTTTCTCTCCTCGCGCTGCTATCTCCTTATTCTGTCCTCTGTTCCATCGCAGATCTCCGAGCAGGGGTTGGGCTCCAGTTCAACTTACTGTGTTGAGAATTAAATTTGAGGCCAGAAGCAGAGTGACCCGTTAGCATAACTGCAGGGTAATGACCCTAATGCTGCTGGCAGCCAAGCCCGAGAGCTGTTTGTTGTTTATGTGATTATTAATGGTCCGCCCAGGGGAGATTTCTTTAGTGGCTGGTCTGAAATGCTTAGAAAGCAGGATGGCTGGGCCGGAATACTCCTGATGTTTTGGTGTTAGATTATGTACAGTAATCATAAATCAAACATGTTATCAAGTCAAATATGGATTTGATAAAGATCTAAACAGTCCATCCAAGTAGATCTGGTCTGCAATCTATGTTGCTGCACACTTGCTTTACATAAATAACTAAAGTAATGTCCATTGGCCAGATCTGCAGCAGAAATCTGCAGAAAAGCTTAAAATGTTTTTAGGAACAAAGAAAATAACTTTTTGCCATCAGACAATGTCAGAAAAAGAAGGAGCTTCGTTCTCAGGATTGCTGCCCTCGTTTTTCGCCCCACATCATCCGGACAAAGGGATGGGTTCCCCATCGCTCCCCCATCCATCCCCCTGAGCCGCATTGCATTCTTCTCCTGACACAAATAAAAACTCCAACTAATAAAATCACTCTGAACAGACATTCAGAGAGAAGGTCTTTTATTTAATCTACAGATTCAAACAAGCGTGCCAGTGTGTTACTTAGTCTTGCTGACATTACATATTTAATGACCAGTGCATGGCAGGTTTGCTTGGACCTGGTCTATAAAAACTGTGGACTGTAAACTTCATGCATGGCTTCACAGATTTATTGTGACACAATACTTCCTGCCAGGATCCCAAAGGGTGGGATAAATGTAAAACCTGCTGGTAACTGGGTCGGTCTGTAAAGGTTCCTTTAGACCAGTGGTTCCCAAAGCTGGAGTCGGGCCCCCACTGTGGGTCACCAAGAGCTACACCGATTTCTGCAAATCAAAATAAAATAGTTGAACTTGTGTTTCTAGCATAATTGCTACAAAAACTCAACTAAATGGTCATAAATGGATATAAGTGAACATGCCGGTGAAGGTTGTCAGTCATCCAGGTCACAGTAATCCAAAAGGGTTTGAATGAAGGCAACTGGACTTCTTTGGTTTTTGTAACAATTCTACTGGAAATATCAGTTCAAATTTATTTTGATTTGTAGAAATCATCTGTGTAGCTCATTAGTGACCCAAAGTGGGGGCCTGACCTCAATTTTGGGAAGCGCTGGTCTAAATCATCGACATACATATATGGACAATGGGTTTCTTTAGGCTCCAATAATACATTTTTGTACTAAAATGGGAGGTGGCCACCACCGCCAATTTGACCGTGTCACAGGTTCCGTCAAGCCCAGACAATTCCATAAAAGGGAAGAGAGGAGGAGCTGAGGGTGGGGCTGTAAGGCTGGGATCAACTGACGACACCCGGTCGAACTAGCTACAAGCTAACCTGAAGCTAACCCAAAGCTAATGCGGAGGTGGGAACTAAGCTAACGGAGGTAGCAACCTAGCTACAACCGGAGTTAACTGTGCACAACACCAGAGCTTCTGAGTCCGAGATACGCCGGGCTGACCGCTGGGTAAAACCGGGTGGAACACAGAGGTCTCCGAGACCTCCACAAGCCGGCAGCCGCACAGCAGACAAGCGCCACTGCGATCTGAGATGCACAGAGCTGCCGCTGGGGAGAACCTGGTGGAAAGGTTTCCATCCCAGAGCTCCACAAGGCGGCAGCCCGCGCATCAAACAGAAGCCGCGATCAGACAGAGATGCGCCGAGCTACGGGGAGGGGAGAACCGGGTGGAAAACATCGGTCTCCCGAGAGCTCCACAAGCCGATAGTGGGAACCCAGCTCCACCAACATGTTATATTTCAACCCATTTTCTAAAGTGCAGCATTATGTTAAATGCACTGGGTTTTACCCTATTACATTTAAATTTCATGGTTAAACAGTACATGTTAAAATCTAAGCTCAGCTCGGCAGTGACCTAAAATACATAAATATAATTTTACTTACCGAAAAAAATGAAGTGGAGACTCCTTGGACGCTCTATTAGTGCAATTAATGCCACAGCAAGTCATTTTGTCCAACAATTGCACAAATAATGTCCAAAACAGAATACACACACACACAGAGACTCAAAATCCCGGAGCAGTTTCCAGGCCAGACCGAGGCTCTACTGAGGCCTTTCCACGGAGCTAGCTCTGTGGTCACGTGGGTCTGATGCTCATTAATTATACCGAATTTTAGGCTTTTAATACACTTAAACAGAAGAGTGAGAAAAACATTCACCCCCTCAGCGTTGTCATGAGTGTAAACTAGATCATTTAAACCAAAAACATGTTTTGGTACCAGGCTGTAAACATGTTTATTTCTGCTGTGAAATTGGTATTTTTAACATGGGAGTCAATGAGGATTTGCTCGCTTCTGACACCAGCCCCTAGTGGATGAGGGTGGAACTGCAGTTTTTGGTACTTCCGGGTTGAGACCAATTTCTGAGCCGCATTGTGGGAGCTTGGTCTAAAGGAACCTTAATGAACTACAGACTGACCCAGTTACCAGTTTGGAGATGAAAGAAGTCCATTTGCCTTCATTCAAACCCCTTTAGGCTATAAGTGAGCCTGAGCTGAAGCGTTTTTCTGAGCTTTTTCAGCATGTTTGTGTTGTTAAATAAGACGTATCTGGGGTCACGTGGGGTTGTCATTCTTGGCGCGGGCTCCATTTGATCGTCTTTGTGCTGTACAAAGTCTCGTTTCATGGCGAAGCAGAGTTGCTTGTTACTTTTGTAACCTTGCGTCGGCACGGGTACCTGATAAGAGAAAGCAAGCGGAGTGTTTTTACCCTCTCTTTGTGTCTCCTCTCAGAGCCGTGGAGGGGAGTGCATGGTGAAGTCGGCAGGGAGTGCCATCGGGGTTATGTTGTCATTCCAATGTATTGTAAAGATGATATCTTGACACCTAAAACAAGGCGTGATTGTTTGAACCGAATCCTGGAATGCTTCGATTGCTACTTTATTTCCAGCGACCTGAGCAGAAGAGAGAGAATTGGTTTGAGCAGAAAAGGGAAGACTGGAGAGTTGAGAGGAAGTAAAAATGGAGAAGTGAGAGGGCAACTCGGTGACAACAGTGTGGATGGCACCTGGCTTTGTTTATTATCTCTGAATCGAAACTCCCAAACGTTCGTGAACCTTTTGAGTGAAGGGAGAGTCATCTGAGGGTGTGTGCTCTCAGGTTAATAACTAATGGAGTACAACACGAACAAAGTTCACACGCCCGTCTAGAGCCAGAAACCAAACGTCAGCGCCTGTTCGTCTGGTTTCAGAAAGGATCTCCTCGGTCTGCAGTCTTTGTTTGAACATTAAACAGAACTGTATCTGTATGTTTAACACCAGATCGTTTGTCTGTTTCACCAAGACCAAGAAAAAAACTAAAGCATGCATCTTAAAGTATTAAAAACCATAAAAGTTTGATCAACCTCTTGAATGATCGTACTAAAACTTTCTGACTTCTGTCATTTCAAAACAAACAAAATGATTTATTGAATGTTTTGGTAGATTTTTATGAATTAATCCTTTAAATTGATGTTATCCTAAGATACTAGCATGTTGTGAGGTGCATTCCCGCGTGCAAAGACCTAGTTTGGACATCCTGCAGACGCGGCCTGGACCGACAGACTCGGTATAGACATGATCTGCACGTCCATGTGACGCTGACTGTTAGCAGGGTTGCTCCTGTGAGCTCCATTTTACTCTTAAATGTAGCTTGTTGGTGTCATTAAAGAGTTTCTTCAAGAAACACCAACATCACGCTTGTTCTCCTGTTGATGTTTACGTCGTTTTAAAGTCACAGTGTGTAATATTTGTACTTGTTTACCATCATTCTGTGAATCGTTCATAAACTTGTCTTTTTCATCAATAATTATTACCAAAGTCAGTTTTAATATTCCTTTTGGCTTAAAATTTTATATTTTTATATACATAAACTGCGGTTGACGCTTCATAGTAATGCGCCATCTTGAAAAACCGTAGCTGTTTAGGGACATACAAGATATAATTCTCCACGTTTCGTGTTCGCACATTGGCATCTCCCCCCTCTAAACATGCGGGGGTGGCGCCGGCTCTGCCCATGGGAGCCTTGCTGGTTTGGGGAAATTCAGCTCCCTCCCCTTGGGTCTCTTTCTCTGCTCTTAACTGGATGTAATCCAGTTGGATTGAAAGCTAGAAGTCATTTATAAATGTGGTGTTGCACGCACGGCCGCAGGGGAGAGGGAGACGAGTGACGCCGACTGCAGGAAGCAGCAGAAACGGTAAAAAAGATGGTTGAACGCTGGTGTTAGGCGTTTTCTGTGTGTGACCCTGAAGTAGCTGTTAGTGCTGCATTGTTTCCCTCTCCTCTGCGGCCGTGGAGCACCGCCACACATCGCCTGTGGACCACGATAGCTGCAGTACCTACTCTGACCT